ACATGAATTCATTTGGAGGCATCAAATTTTGATTCGTAATATGTTTGTACATTGAATGTACATTGAATGACCATTTTCGGTAGCACCCCATTAACATTTCAAAGAATCCTGTTGGTCATCAGGTCGTACAAACACAACTTTTTTTTCGCGACGTACCGTGAAGCATGTTTTTCATTAAGAGAAAGTAGAATTTAAAAAGTTACAAAGGACTCGTAAGTAATAATCCAAGGATTACCACACTAGTCCAAAAGAGACCACAAGCAGCAAGAGAAAAAACGGAGGGGAAGAGGAGACCCTCAGCCTCAACACCCTAACAGAATGATCCTATGACAAAAAGGCAACAATACAGAGCACGTTACGGTGACGAAGCATCCACCTAGGTACAAAACACAACTGTCACAACTAGCCCATTCCATTTAGTTGACTTATCTCCCATTAGAGACCTACGAAAGGAGGTCAATATTGAGGAGTACAGAACTAAAGACATGAGACACTACAGCATGTTTCTTCCTAGTAATGTTATATAAGATGGATATGTTCCCAAAGATGTATTAGGCCTTCCGCGGTGTGGGGCTAGAGTGATGCCCCCAACAGTAGAGAGAGTGCGTTTGGGCATCACTCCCAACGCTGCAGGTAGTGATGTTTATTTAGAGTGAAGCCAGGAATGAGTGGACATGTAGATGCATCGGTGCCTAAATCATAAAATATACTAATTCACTATAGCAAAAAAGTGATAGTTGGGAGTCAGAACGGTTACATTTCATCCCATTTCATATAGACGAGACCGTCGGTGGGTAGCTGTGACCGGAGCAGCAGGACCTGGAAGAGCAGGGTTGATTTTACTTGGACGAGAGAGATGGAGGCCAGGATTTGCTAGAGCAGGGAGGACCGAAGGAGGAAGAGAAAGGTGATTTTTCCTCGCGCGAATGAACCAGACGGAGAAGGCACTACGAGTTATTTTATTTAATGGGGGTCCCGACGATCACATGGCTTCGGTGCCCAACATTTTTCACGCTAGGAGCCTGGTCGCTGATTGGTTGCTGGCCCGATAAGCCTAATTAATGTTGATTCGTTGTTAGAGAAAAATACTAAATTCTCGCTAAAACAAACCAGCGAACTGACGTCGGTGCTCAATTCTACGTGTGGGGCTCTTTTTTTTTCATCGCTGCCACATTACGGAAGGCCTTAGTGAACCACTTGGGCCTGTAAACTTATGTGGGCCCTGTCTTTGTGTTTCTCTCTTCAGAAGTTTTAGGGACAGCTCCGTCCTCGGTTAAGCTCCTTAATTAGCAGGAAGCTTATCGTGCAAACGACGATTACATATATATTACTCCCTCCGTCTCAAAATATCTGTCGTTTTTGTTTTCCGAGAAACAACTTTGAGAAAATATATATTAAAAAATATTAATATTTATGATACATAATTGATATCATTGGAAAGATCTTTGAATCTAGTTTTTTTAATAAATTTATTTAGAGATACAAATATTGCATGTATTTTCTACAAATCAAATCGAGTCAAATTTGCGACACGAAAACTAAAAGCGACAGATAATTTAGAACAAGAGGGAGTACATGCCATCATGGACCAATTGTTACATCCTGGACTGCGTGCATATAGAATTGTAGATCAATCTGTGCGTGAGGCGACGCTGCTTCCGCTTCCACACGCGCATACAAAAATACGATACGAGTAGCCAAGCGTGCATGCATGTGGTTTTGCATCGGGCTGCATGCTACAGATTAGCATAGAACCCAATAACCCATGCATGCGCGTAAGCATTCATTTGTGTAAAACGTGCGCAGTTTTTGTTCCAGAAATCTGACAACTACAATGACACGCTCTCTCTCCAAGCCTCCAAGCACCAAGCAACACTGCTATTGCTATTTTTTTTTAAAAAAACAAAAATCTGAAGAAGTGATATTCTGTTTTGCTCTGTTCTAATCTGTGTCGCTGTATGAACCGTGTGTGTTGCAGTCCAGTGATTTTGTGGCCTTGGATTGGGAATGAGAGGGAGTAGCTGAAACCGGCACATGAGGAGAGCAAGGAGACAAAAATATATTTTTTTAGATGAGACTCAGGAGAGAAATAGCATTTTTTTTAGCAACAGGAGAGAAATAGCTAACGCAGCCAAAACAAAACAAAACAAAGGAGAATACATCTTGGCTTGGCATGTTAATCTGGCCCAGATTAGTAGTGTATGTTGTATTTGGGCCCTTGGGCCATGACAGGCCCTGACCTCCTATGAAAAGCCCATTCAATCGTTTGCCCACAGATTGCGGGCCGGTCAATCGGACATTCCCATCAGCCTACGGCGGCCATCACATATTGGTGGAGAGTGTTTTTTTTTTCTCCGAAACACTCCCTCTATGAACGAGCAATCACTTTTCACTCAGAAAAATAACATCATTATATTCTGAAATAAATCTAGTATCCACGTAAAGTCAACAACTTAAATTCGAATGACTAAGTTACACCCCAAGGATCTTAATCAACTGTCCCTGGAGAGTGCTTGTTTAGAGTTAAATGGAAGACAAAAGATGAAACCATCTTTTTAACATGAAGATCGGTCACACACCTAAAGGGCTAGTACTTCTGGATCCCTTGAGGGTCATAGGGACATCTCGAGGATCGATTCACAAGAGGGCCATGGAACCTTAGAACGTTTCACCGATTCTTTATGGGTTGGACCAAAAATATTAATAGGGCATACAAAAAGATGGAGAAAAAACAATTGCTTGATAAATCGGATGAGTTAGACAAAAAGGCCAGATTGTTACGGCTTGATGATGAAGAAAGGTTAGCCCAACTTCCTAGTGCAGTCCAGGGTTTCCTTGCTCAACATTCACACACCAATGTTTTAGTTACAGCTTGGTTTGAAGGTATACGACCTGAACAAAACCAAATAAAGTTGTATAACTATTATTAAGACGATATTTTTTTTAGGCTGCGATCATCGATATGTTCATGCACGAGCCAATGCAATACGTGCTTGTGTATGTGATTACAGACGTGAGACAATAAGATTGGATTCTTTTTATTGGCAAACTAAAGAGTATTTGTCCATGCTTACGCAAAATATTCTGTCTCGTATTTACTACTACTGTTCCACAATAGACCGTTTTAATTTTATCATGACTAAGTTTTATAGAAGATACACCAACACCTAGAGTATCAAATTAGTTTTATATTATAAATTCACCATGAAGGATCGTTAGATCCATAAAGAGAGCAAGGACAAGAAATAGATAACGACGCAGCCAAAACAAAAACAAAGGAGAAACACATCTTGGCTTGGCATGTTAATCTGGCCCAGATTAGTAGTGTATGTTGTATTTGGGCCTTTGGGCCATGCCAGGCCCTGACCTCCTCTGAACAGCCCGTTCAATCGTTTGCCCACAGATTGTGGGCCGGTCAATCGGAATTCCCATCAGCCTACGGCCTATCGGAAGAGTCCCAGTAGGGGCTTGGCGGAGAACCTGAGACAGAGAGCTGAAGGACAGAACACAGAATAGGGGAACCGAACGCCAGCGCCTCTCGTTCCTACCCGTGGGACTGTGGGACCGACGGCGGCCCTTCTCGTCGCGCCGCCTTTGCTTCAGTTTCCCTTGTCCCATTTCCCTTGAATCCAGCGACGAGATTGCCGACTTCCAGCGAGGTCTCACCGCAAATCCTAGGGGAAAAGGAAGACTGCTTCACCAATCCCTGGTGCGTTTGGCAAGTTCAAGAAAGGGCATGGGAACTGAAGGTGGGAGTTAGTGGAGGGAATTGACGTGGAAGTTTGATTTATACTCCCAATTTCCTGTTTGGCAAGTGCTGGAAATTAAAAGAGACTTCAAGAGGGAGTTTCTTCTGCCTTTGTTTGGTTGGTGGGTTTAGAAATGGAAAATCGTAACTTAAGTTATCATCAACGGTGGAGATACACTCGTCTTGTGTTGATAAGGAATTCCGGCTCAATTTCTACCCCTCTCCCTGGGTTTAAAAGGTGAGAGTTGAGGCCCTCGAATTCTTCTTCTCCTTCCCACAAGAACTTCCATGCCCACCGACCAATCTAAGTAATTTTAATCACACATCTCTTAACTCTCGTTCCCTTCTAACAATTCCCTCAAACCAAATGTGCCTGTGAGCAGCTGCACGCCTGAATGTGAGGCTGAGGCTCAACTCCACATCACGGTGTCTGGTGGGCTACACCGTGCTCAAGAGGCACTGTATCTCCGTCTTCCTCGTCGGCGAGGCCACGGCACAAACAGCGGCAACTGCTTCCTCTGCCTTCTCAACAACTTTCAGCGTTTGCTTGTCGCAACGTGAGCATTCTCGTCTCAGCAAATTCCTCATGTTATTTCTTTATGTGCCTTTTAAGCTTGTGGTCAAGTGTGAGTGTGAGATTAATTTTATGGCAAAAATTGCCTTGAAACAGAAGCCTCATCTCTTTCTGCTACTAGGTGCCAAGGTTGATTACTGATTACAACCTGATAATCTTATCTTACTGTTCCCAACTTTGATCAACCACTGTAGCTCGTTCTTGGTCTCGAGTACTTCTGAAACTAGTCTATTCGGCACTACGCGTGCATAAATGTTTGGTTACTAATTTAATTTTAGCATTACTCTTTACTTGCTTATTATACTTCATTAAGGGAGATACTAGTTCAAGGCCACATTTGCATATATAATTGCCTATTGTCTCGTGGTCAGGTTGGCCCCTCTGCTGTGGAGGCTACATATTCAATCTATAGTATATACTGACACCTCATGAGGGCACAAACAAAATTAAAAATTCCAAGCAACGCATGATACTTCATCTCATTGTCAGATTGACCCCTGTGTTGTGGAGGCTACAAATTCAATCTCTAGTATATTTATATACTGACACCTGATGACGAGGGTAGAAACATGATTAAAATTTCCAAGCAACAACATTTTTATTCCAAGCCTGAAACAGAAGATGAAACATGTATGACAAAAGACGTAGCTGGCAACTTGTCTTCTATGGTGCACTTGTTTATCCTTCAAATAGCTCCTGCAGCATCTCCTCCACCTCCTGAGGAGTGACTTCTGGGGTGATCCTATTGTTATCCTCCAAGTATATTGTAAAGTCTGAAACGACTTTCTCAATGATAACTTCACGCAGCCTTTTTTTTAGCCTAGGGTCCGGGACTTTCCAGAGCTTTTGGGCAGTGTAGGCCATATGAAACTTGGACTCAAAACTTTGGCAGCGGTGAGTTTCTTGTGAAGCAATGAAATGTGGGATTGTTCAGACATTTCAACACTGGTGCCCAAGACACTTGGAGATAACTCTCTATGTACCTGTCGATTTTGTGAGTGAGGTCATGGTGGAGCTGCTGCCCTATGAAGTAGGTGTTGTTGATCAAGAATAGGAACCTGAGGCTCTGGTCCGGGAATGACTGTGATACTCTGAGAAGCTTTTCTTCTAGAGAAGTGACCATCTCCATGATGAAGCTAGTGAGAAAAATCTGATCTCCATCTCGATCACGATGTGCATAATTTGCAGGGACCAATGCCTTAGCGAACATCACTTCGATGCAGTTTACGATGGACCAAGTGACCTTGTGGATATCGGGCGATGGCTGCAGAGTCTGAGCAGTACCCCATTTGCTAGTTAGTTTCAACTTACAAAAAGGCTCAACTAATCTAATGATACTCGTAATCTCCTCACTACAAGCCATCACCCTAGTCATTATGCAATACTCCATCTCAAAATAAATCAATTTCTAGAATCAGCCTAAGTCAAACTATCTTAAATTTGACTAACTTTATAGATAACAACATCTATAACATCAGATAAGTACATTATGAAAATATACTTTATTAGGGGAGTCCCATCAAAGGCCTAGAGCAACCTAACCTACTTCACTTGTGTGAATTTTTTTACCTAGAGGACAGATAACAGGCCTCGCCCGAAAGTCCCAAAGTCCCTCTGAAGGCTGACAAAGGCTCCTTGAAACCCCAAATGGCAAGCTTCGCTCGAAGGTCCCATAGATTCGCTCAAAGGCTAGGGAATTCGCTCAGAGGTCCTGCAACAATGGCCTCGTGATCTATGAATCTGACCAATGAACTTTAAATCTAGTTGTACCACTCGTGTATGGAGATGAGTTGAACGTAATAATCCATAAAATTTCTCAGCCTGCAACTTCATAACAAGTAGATTGAGACGAGAAACAAGAACAAAATTGCAAGCTCAAGAATACAAGGACATAAGATTTATCCCAAGGTTCGGGTGTTCGGCCACCCCCTCAAAGGAGTACTTACATCTTGGTTGAGGAGCCGACAAAGGTCTTTGAGTCTTTTCCAACTCATCTTGTCAAGAACCACGAAGGTCAACCCGGCAAATCCACTAAAATCAATTTGCATTGGTTAATCAAACTTCTTGCAGCACCCCACAAGAGAGAGGTGTGTGCTTTGATGGGCAACACCTAGCCGGTTAGAATTCAAGAATTCAAAAGTAAAAAATTGAAAATAAATTATTGGCTGGTGCCACAAGTGCTTAAAAGGATGAAAATCTTGCTTGCGGAGTCACGCTTGCTTTTCTTACTCAATCTCGCCAACTCAAATCTCAAATCTAATCTCATAGTGAGTTGAGAGAGAGAGAAGCAATTAATGTCTTTGGCTCGTGGGTGATGACTAATATAATAAAACAAATAAAGAAAATTATTTCCATTTTTTTTCAAAAAAATCTAAATGTTATATAGTGAAAAGAAAAAAATAGCTACCTACTATAAGCTATTAACACAAACTTCCTTATTAGTTTCAACTTACAAAAACGTCCAGCTAATCTAATGATACTCCTAATCTCCTCACTGCAAGCAATCAACCCAGTCATTATATACAATACTCCATCTCAAAATAAATCAATTTCTAGAATTAGCCTAAATCAAACTATCTTAAGTTTGACTAACTTTATAACAAAAAGTAACCACACCTGTAACATCAGATAAGTACATTATGAAAATATACTTTGTTGGGGGAGTCCCCCTCGAAGGCCCAGAGCAACCTAACCTACTTTACTTGTGTGACTGTTTTTACCGAGAGGTTAGATAGCAGGCCTCGCCCAAAAGTCCCGAGGTCCCTCTGAAGGCTGACGAAGGCTCCTCGAAACCCCAAATGGCAGGCTTTGCTTGAAGGTCCCACAGATCTGGTCAAAGGCTAGGGAATTCGCTCAGAGGTCCTGCAACTGCAACAATGGCCTCGAGATGCAGAGTCAGTCTATGAAGATCGATGCTTATTTGAACGAGAGCGAATAGGATCCAGGTACGAATTGCTTAGTTCGACCAACGAAGGCTCACATCTGTAAGGCAGGATAAATCTCATTGTACCCTCATGACTATAAAATCGACGATTCTAGGAATATTCTGTAATATTATTGGGATCAAAGGTGACTGATCTATATATAAAAGGAGGGGGAGTTGTAATGAGAACAATAAATTAGCTCACCTACCTTATGCAAGGGACTGTGAATCTCGATCCAATATAAAGCCTTGGTCTCGTCTTTACAATATACTTGTGACATATCCAGTGATGCTAATTTGGTGGTGTTATTTTCCATCAATTTGGTTAAATTTAAAATAATTCAATTTAGAATAACTCTAGAAATTGATTTAATTTAAGATGGAGCGAGTACCTCATTACGAAGTGGGTACCTATACCTATACATAGCAGCTCCGGGCCTCCGGTAGAATGCAATTCCGTTCAGGTGAGGTACTGAGGTCTTGTCGGTGCCAAACTGCCAGCAGTGTCAGTCAACACTCAACACACTCCAGTCGTCATCGCTGTTCCAAAGACGCGCACTGCCGCGGGCCCCGCCAGGTCAAAGTCAAAAAAGTGTTTTTTTTTTGAAACAAAAAGTCAAAAAATGTAACGCGTTGGCGATGCGCATGACGCATGAGTACAGAGTACGTGACCAGCACATCAGGGATCTCATCATCCATGGATCCCGTGGATGTGGAGCGGCTACGTCCAGCAGCAACAGTGCACTGGGCAGGTGGCTCTCGGAGCTGCAGGTCAGCTGGGTTCTCCACCTCGCCCAGCTGGACGCCGCGTCCGCGGGGAGGACCTACGTGTCGCGGCGACTCCAGCACACTGCACGCAGCTGGGTCCTAGCTCTACACGTCATCGGCAGGTGCGTCGTTAGCTCACTGTATGGTGTAGTAGCCAGGAGGAGGAAGAAGACGCTCTACAGACCTGGCCACCTGCTCCAGAGTTTGTAGGATTTGTCGCAGCAACCTTCTTGCTCATGCTCCCTTTCGTTGACGCGGTCGTTGCATTGGACGACGTCATTAGCCCTTTTAGCATTAGCAGTGACGGCCATGGCCATGGTGGTGTCGTTTCTGGCAACAAGGGTGCAGTGGCATCGGCTCACAGGTTCAGGACACTGATAGATGTCCATGACGCCCTCTCTGGGGTCTCGGAGCAGGTCCAGCTCTAGCACTCATGTCTCATCAGTTCCTCTTCGTCACCGGACGCAGAAGCTGCGAGGATAAGCGCGGAGATGAGAAGCCTGCTGTTGGCGAAGCTGGACAAGGTGGACGAGGCCATGCGGAGCACAAGAGACTGCATCAGGACTCACTTCATGTCCTTGACGACAGACGACCATGGCCATTACTATACAGCGTCAGGACTGCATCCATCACCAGACATTCATGCTGCCACTCAGTTTGCAGTAAGCTACATCATTGTGTTGTCGACTAGTTACAACAACAACCGATCCTAGCTCAGTGGATCCTCCTACTGCATATGAAGCATCTATGTCTCTCGGTGAGAATAATATCAGTTCTTCCACCAACTTGAACATCGTGATCATCCGTTCACTAGAAGAAAGCCTTACCAGGATGTCACTTTCATTCCCGGGTCAAAGCCTCAGGTTCTTATTCCTGGCCAACAATTTCTACTTCCTGTGGCACCAACTGCTTTCTCAAAATCTGCTTTTGGATGTCCCAACGGATACCTTGGCTCGCAAGATTGACAGTTACATAAACAGTTATCTGCAAGTATCCTGGACGCCAGTGCTGAAGCCTTTGTATGGACTCGTTAGATGCTGAACCCCACATGTCGGAAATAAATCGTGAAATGTGTCTAGAATGTCCTGAGGGCTATATATGTAACTTGTGTAGTCAACTAGTGTTTCTCCACGTTCGTAAATTGTGACACTTTTTTTTTTGACATTCTGATATATATATATACACTTGGGGATATGAGTAACTTTTGGTAAAGGTAATTATGCCAATAATGATTATTTGATTAGATTCATATAGTTTAAGAAAATCAAGAACATCAATCGACATCGGCTTGGGAATCAAATATCAATACCTCTTCCATTCAAAGCAGTCTGAGTCTTATAAGTTATATATAAGCAAACAAAACGCAGTCTTAAAACAGCTTTTTGTGTGTGTGTGAGCAGAAGTCGTGAAACTGCTAATGTATGAAGTTGAAAGACCCCGAGGGCCCATCACGGCCTCAAAACGCAGTTGTGGGCCGATCGCCTTGCTGTTGTATCTATCAGGTTTCACGGGCCATACCATAATCTGGCAGAAAACTAAAGTGCCGGCCAGCGCTTAAATCGCAAGGTTTCCGAGGACGCATCAGCCACGCCACGCACGCAGGTGAAACCGTGAAAGCCAATTGCAAATTTGCAATTGGGATACTGCCAACTGACTGAGCAGCGCGTTCGGAACGCCACGCGAATCGAGTGTCATCGTGTAGCGGGCTCGTCCACACACACATACACCCAGACCCAGGTCAAGTCAACAAGTCATCCAAGCCCTTACAAAAATCGTAAAAACCAAGCATTTTTACTTGAAAAAACTACAGAAACTAACACCCATTCCCATAGAAATTAAGGTCCTTTTTGGTTGGGTTGTGGTTTTTAAAAAAGCAGCTGTGAGCTATGGACCGTGAAAAAGCAGCTATAAGAAAGTAGCTGTGAGAAAAACAGAAGGTTGTTTGGTTAGCAGACGTGGCTTTCGTAACAGCTGCTGGCAGCCTCTCTCACTTACGGGAGCTGCCGCCGCCTGCGGCAGCTCTGCAGCGCGGACTGGGGCGCCGGCCGCCGAGCTCCATGCCTTCGTCTCGTCAACTCCTTCAACGCCGTCAAGTTGGGGCCAGACCGGAGCTGAGGAAGGGACCACGCCTTCGGATCCGCAGGGGCCGCGCCGCCGGACCTCGCCATCGGAGACGCCGCATCGCCGGGACAGCTGGTCCGCTCCGCAGGTGCTGCACGCCGTCAGAAAGTTGCGAACAGAAACATAGGAAAAATAACGATTGCTTTGTAACAGGTGGTATGTGGTTAATTTTTTTTTTCCAGCTGGGGTTCCAACT